CTTCCATGGCATATGATCGGTATGTAGCTATTTCTAATCCATTGCTTTATACGGTTATTATGTCTAGGAAAACCTGTCTATTACTCTTAGTTCCACCTTGTTTTGGTGGACTATTAAATGCCATGACACATACAGTTATGACCTTCCAATTAACTTTCTGCAAATCCAAGATCAATCATTTCTTCTGTGATATCCCTGCTGTGATATCCCTCTCCTGCTCTGAGACACAAATCAACAAAATGGTGCTTTTTATCATGTCCTTTACTCATGGCACCCTCAGCAGCGTTTTTATTATTATCTCCTACATCTATATTCTTTGTGCCATCCTAAGGATCCGGTCTGTGGAGGGCCAGCGGAAGGCTTTCTCCACCTGTTCCACCCATTTCACTGCTGTTTCCATCTTCTATGTCACCCTCTTCTTTATATATGTGCGCCCTAGCCATAGTTTTCTACCAGACCGAGGCAAGATGTTTTCTGTGTTTTATGCAGTGGTGATCCCCATGTTAAACCCACTGATCTATAGCATAAGGAACAAGGAAGTACAAGATTCCATAGGGAGAATGATCAGAAGAAAAAGAACCTTGAGCTAGTCTCCTAAGTGATGAGTTTCATCTTTGTCCAAAAAGAAAAATAATTATTTAAATTGTATGACTGCCTTTAACTTGTAAGCTGTCTAGAATTGCCTCAGTGAGATAGGTGGCATAGAAGTTTAATAATAAAATAAAATAAATAAAATTTAGATCTTTTGCTTTTAAAATACAACAGGTAAGGTTTTAATAACAATGATCATGCGGAATAAAATTTTATTTTGTAGTAGTTACAAAACAGTACTGTGGAATCAATAAAATTAATTCTGACCTTCTATGATCGTTAATTATTTCTGTTGTAGATCTTTTTTTTTTCACTTTTCTTATTCCACCACCCCTGTATTAATTAACTGTACTCTTTTCACTCCTGAGGGATGCGCACATACAGTTTTACATAATGTTCTGCACAGAATGTTGAACTCATCCTGGCAGGGAATCACAGCCTTCACACACCTAGGAGCCATGGGTCTAGGGGAAAGAAATGTCTGCCTTCAAAGATGACAGAGTCTCTTGCAAAGTTGGAGACCTTATGGCCCCCAGAATCCTCCCAAAGTTTCCATTGAATGCAATGGAAAGCTGACAGATAAATGGCAAGTAAAAATGTTGGCCATATTTTGTTTCATTTTAACATAAAGTAAAGGAAATGTAACAGGTTCAGCAAGGGGCAGCATCTGGCTTATCTTGTCTGGGCACAGAAGTTAAGCAAAGTCAGCCACAGTTACATTTTGGATGGGATACATCGGATACATCAAGGAATTTCTGGGCTCTTGGCTGGCCTGAAATGTCAAAAAATGCTTCCTGGAAGAAGGCAATGGGAAACCAGTTTTGTGTAAGAAAACTGCATGAATATATGGATTTTTACTCAATGTATCCTCTATCATGGTGTTCACAGATCAAGTGTAGTCCTCAGCTACCGCCCACCCCAAATTGTTGTTTAGATATATAATTCCCTATTAGAAGATATATGTAAGATGCATATGCCTATGGTCAAGTTGGTCAAGATGGGAGAAAGTTTCTGGAGATTCATTCATTCATTCTCTTTTTGATTTTCACTTGAGAACACAGGTGGGGGTGGGAAAGTACCCACAAATTTCAGTTAAGATGCTTGTATCTACCTGTTGCCCATCCATGTTTTGTGAAACTCTTCTGCTGTGTCCCCATGTACATAGTTTCTCTGGAGAGTCCATTGATCTCCACACTAAGGTAACCTTAAGTTTTCCTTAGCTGTCCTGGTGTTCAAATAGAGATTTTTTTTCCATAATAGAATTTTTTTTGCCCTAGAAACAATCAGAGACACCTGGCCAACTGTTCTGCCAATGGTGCTCTCAACGAATCCCATTCAGGGAGTGGGATTAGCATAACACTGATTAAAAACTTTAGGTTGGTGCAAGTCTACCTCTTTCCTCCTGACCTTCAAGAACTGGAGCTCCAGTGGGTACCCAGCTTGGAGGCATGGACCACCCCAAACAAGATTTTCTATTGCACAGCCAGTAGCTAAACCTAAATTCTCCTTGACTGATCCTTATCTACTTTTCTGGTGCCCTACATGACTCTCCACTCTAACCAATCTAAATGCAGGGGGAAATGCTTTGGTTACAAAGAAAGACTTGACTAGACTTTTTTTTCCCAAATGGCAAAGTAAGATTCCCTTTACTAAAGCCAGAATAAGATTGATGAAACATGTAGACAAAGATGTCTCTCACACAGATTCACCAATTACATCTCAATCTCACCTCCATAACTAACCACATCCCGTGCTTTAAAGGAGAAAAACTGGCACAATGCTGAACAGAGTAACAGAGGAGCCACTTTAGCTGTTGGTCAAATTGCAAGGCATCTGCTTTAGGAAAGAAGGCAGGAGCGTGCCATTTCCATTTCAAGATGCTTTTGTAAAATAAAAGTCTGTTCAATATTTTATGGAAAACAATTTTTTTAAAAAATGTTTAAGGAAATCTGTGTGAAAGGTGTGTATAGAACTACTTACAAAATTTTAGAATAAAAGGGCTGGAGGGATTCCTGGAGATCATCTTAGAGTTCCCCTCCAGCAAAGGAGAGCGTACTACCCAAGTGGGCGATTCCTAACAGTACAGGATCTCTTACTATAACCCACCTTCTATATGTCAATCACTCAAACACATAAGGACAGCTGTCCTGACTCTTGGAGATCTGAGCTTTTCTGCAGATTCCAAGGCATAGGTTTATTTTGCAAAGACGGCCAATGAGAAATGTGCACTAGCAGGCAGAAACTGAAGCACCTTCAGATTAAATACATTTTTTCAGTGCAAGTAATCTTTATACCCACTGGAACAAAAAAAAAGTATTGGTTACTACCTGATGGTGGCAGTATACTCCCCAAACTCCAGGAGGAAGGCTGAAGGACAAATATAAAGATGCCTTTCTGTGCTGCAAGACCCAGAAACCCATCCCAAGGAATCCTTCCCTGGACCCCATGCGTGTCTTTGTCAGATCTGACTGCTTAAAAGGATCCTCCCTCGGCAAAATACAATTTAGTCACAGGTAAGAGTGATTAGGGTTACAGTCAGGAACAAGAAGAAAATAAATCTAAATAATACATCATTTCACAGTTGAAGTGGACAGAGGGGAAAATGCAGTATTTCAGCAGAAAAGAGTTTAGGGCATTTATGGGGTATGATTTCAGGACAAGGGAAAGATTAACATGCAATAGAACTACTAAAATTTGGAAAGGTTAAGAGGCATATTTAGTAATATTTTTGTTGAAATTGCACATGATGTGTGTAATATGGTTTTTTTTTAAAAAAAATCAATTTTCACTTGTTACCCAAACTTTCTTTCTTTCTTTTTTTTTTTTTAGGTAAGAGCTGAAATTGGGGATATTGCATGTGGAAATTCAGCCTGTCCTTTTTTTTTATCTTCTTCCATTTCATGTCAATGTTTTGTGACATTTTGCAGCTAAACTTAGTTTCCACTTTTCTTTGCAGAAAAAGCACACATGGCAAAAGCAAATCACACACTGGTGTATGAATTCATCCTGGTTGGATTTGCTGCGTCTCCAGAATTACAGATTCTGCTTTTCATTTTCTTCCTGACAGTTTATTTCATTACCTTGCTGGGAAATTTTGGGATGTTTCTGTTAATCCAGATAGACTCTCAGCTTCGCACCCCCATGTACTTCTTCCTTAGTAACCTGTCATTACTGGATCTTTGCTATTCTTCTGTGGTCACCCCAAAGATGTTGATCGATTTTGTAATAGAAAGCAAAACCATTTCCTTAAGGGAATGTGCAGCACAAATGTGGTTTTTTGCCTTCTTCGTGGCTGCTGAATGTTATCTCCTAACTTCCATGGCATATGATCGGTATGTAGCTATTTCTAATCCATTGCTTTATACGGTTATTATGTCTAGGAAAACCTGTCTATTACTCTTAGTTCCACCTTGTTTTG